TAAAATTATATGAAAAGGTAATATACATATACATAATATACATCATATACATTGTAACCCATTCAGGGGCTGCAACACAAGGTACTTGTGTACAGGGGCTAGGGTACAGAGAACTGGAGTATAGAGGACTAGGGAACAGGGGACTGGGGTATAGGGGACTTGGGAACAGAGGACTGGAGTACAGGACACTACGGTACGGGAGACTAGAATACAGGGAATTAGGGTACGGGAGACTGGAGTACAGGGGACTAGGGTGCAGGGGACTAGGGTACAGGGGACTGAGGTACAGGGGACTAGGGAGCAAAGGATTGAGATACAGGGGACTAAGGAACAGGGGACTGATGTACAGGGGACTAGGGAACAGAGGATTGGAGTACAGGGGACTGGAGTACTTGGAACTAGGGTACAAGGGACTAGGGTACAGAGGAGTGGAGTACAGGGGACTAGGGAACAGTGGACTTGGGTATAGGGGAGTAGAGAACAGAGTATTGGAGTACAGGGCACTAGGGTACGGGGGACTGGAGTACAGGGGATTAGGGTATGGGGGATTCGGGTACAGGGGACTAGGGTACAGGGGACTGGAGTATTGGGAACTAGGGTTCAAGGTACTGGTGTAGAAAGGACTAGGGTACAGAGGACTGAAGTACAGGGGATTAAGGTACAAGGGTCTGGAGTACTGGGAACCAGGGTACACGGTACTGGAGTACAGGGGACAAGGGTACAGGGGACTGATACAGGGATCCTGTGTGTAACAACTTCCTACCAGCCATAAGGGTAATTAGCAATATGCCACTGGCTGCCTTCAAGAGGGAGCTGGACAGATATCTAAAGTCACTGCCTGACCAGTTGGGCTGTGGTTCGTACGTTGGACTATGTGCGGCCAGCAGAAGCAGCCTAGTTAATCAGGACCAGATCCACCGGGATGACTGGTCATGGACCGGGCCCTGGGGGGGCGTTGATCCCCAGAATAACCTCCAGGTAGGCAGGGGAGTGGTGTACAGGGGAAGGGTACAGAGGGACTGGTGTGCAAGTTCCTGGTTAGCAGGGAGTGGTGTACAGAGGACTGGTGTACAGGGGAGCGGTGTACAGGAGCCTGTTGAACAAAGGACTGGGGTACAGGGGATAGAAGTGTTACGGCAGAGGGGACTGTTGTATAGGGCACTGGGGTGCAGGACTGGTGAACAAAGAACTGGGGAACAAGGGATTGATGTACAGGGTAATGGGGTACAGGGTACTAGGGAACAGGGTACTGGAGTACAGAGGACTGGGGTACAAGGATCTGGGGTATAGGGGTCTAGAGTGCAGAGGATTGATGTACAGGGGACTGGTGTTTACAGGGGACTGGTGTACAAGGGATTGGTGTACAGAGGTCTGGTGTACAGGGGTCTGGTGTACAGGGGTCTGGTGTACATGGGTCTAGTGTACAGGAATCTGGTGTACAGGGGTCTGGTGTGCAGGGGTCTGGTGTACAGGGGTCTGGTGTACAGGGATCTGGTGTACAGGGGTCTGGTGTACAGGAGTCTGGTGTACAGGGGTCTTGTGTACAGGGGTCTGGTGTGCAGGGGTCTGGTGTACAGGGGTCTGGTGCACAGGGGTCTGGTGTACAGGGGTCTGGTGTACAGGGGTCTGGTGTACAGGGGTCTGGTGTACAGGAGTCTGGTGTACAGGGGTCTGGTGCACAGGGGTCTGGTGTACAGGAGTCTGGTGTACAGGGGTCTGGTGTACAGGGGTCTGGTGTGCAGGGGTCTGGTGTACAGGGGTCTGGTGCACAGGGGTCTGGTGTACAGGGGTCTGGTGTACAGGGGTCTGGTGTACAGGGGTCTGGTGTACAGGAGTCTGGTGTACAGGGGTCTGGTGTACAGGGGTCTGGTGTGCAGGGGTCTGGTGTACAGGGGTCTGGTGTACAGGGGTCTGGTGTACAGGGGTCTGGTGTACAGGGTCTGTGTCAGTGGTGTACAGGGGTCTGGTGTACAGGGGTCTGGTGTACAGGGGTCTGGTGTACAGGGGTCTGGTGTACAGGGGTCTCGTGTATAACTTCCTAACAAGTAGATCACGGAAAGTAATAGTAAACAGAGTAAAGTCTGAGGCGGCTACAGTCAAAAGCTCTGTTCCACAAGGCACAGTACTCGCCCCCGTCCTGTTCCTCATCCTCATATCTAACATAGAAAGAGATGTAAGCCACAACACCGTGTCTTCCTTTGCGCATGACATTCGAATTGCCATGACAGTGTCCTCCACCGAAGACACTGCAAGACTCCAAGCGGACATCAACCAAATCTTTAAACAGGCCACGGAAAACAACATGAAGTTCAATAAAGAGAAATTTCAATTGCTCGGATATGGAAAGCTTTAGGAAATTAAAACTGCATCAGAGTATTAAACAAATTACAACCAAACAAAACCTAATGTGAAGGACCAATGAGTGATAATGTCAGAGGATCTCACTTTCAGAGACCAAAAGAACGTATCTACCACATCTGCTAGAAAAATGATAGGATGGATAATGAGAAATTTCAAAACTAGGGATGCCAAGCCCATGATGATTCTCTTCAAATCTCTTGTTTCTCTATGCTGGAATACTGCTCTGCACTAACGGCCTCTTTCAAGGCAGGTGAAATTACTGACCTGGAGAATGTACAGAGAACTTTCACGGCACACATAAGTACGATGAATTACCTAAATTACTGGGAACGGTTGAGGTCTCTTGATTTGTATTCTCTGGAACGCAAGCAAAGAAGATACATGATAACATAAACTTGGAAAATCCTAGAGGGTTTAGTACCAATTAGCAAAAGACTCGGCAGGAGATGCAACACTCCTGCCAAGTCTTGGGAACCTGACACAGTAAGTGTCAGGTGCCCAAGACTGTTGAACTGCCTCCCAGCATACCAATAGACGCCTGGCTGTCTTCAAAGTCAGTACCAGATCAGCCAGGCTGTGGTTCGTACGTCGTTCTACGTGCGGCCAGCAGTAACAATGTGGTTGATCAGGCCCTGATCCTCCCCGAGGCTTGGTCGCGGACCCCGGTCCGTTACCAGGCGGGGGTCTTAATCCCCGAAACCCTCTCCAGGTACAGGGGACTGTGTGCATGGTACTGAGGTACTGGAAAACAGGGGACTGTGTACATGGTACTGAGGTACTGGAAAATAGGGGACTGTGTACATGGTACTGAGGTACTGGAAAATAGGGGACTGTGTACATGGTACTGAGGTACTGGAAAATAGGGGACTGTGTACATGGTACTGAGGTACTGGAAAATAGGGGACTGTGTACATGGTACTGAGGTACTGGAAAATAGGGGACTGTGTACATGGTACTGAGGTACTGGAAAATAGGGGACTGTGTACATGGTACTGAGGTACTGGAAAATAGGGGACTGTGTACATGGTACTGAGGTACTGGAAAACAGGGGACTGTGTACATGGTACTGAGGTACTGGAAAACAGGGGACTGTGTACATGGTACTGAGGTACTGGAAAACAGGGGACTGTGTACATGGTACTGAGGTACTGGAAAACAGGGGACTGTGTACATGGTACTGAGGTACTGGAAAACAGGGGACTGTGTACATGGTACTGAGGTACTGGAAAACAGGGGACTGTGTACATGGTACTGAGGTACTGGAAAACAGGGGACTGTGTACATGGTACTGAGGTACCGGAAAACAGGGGACTGTGTACATGGTACTGAGGTACTGGAAAACAGGGGACTGTGTACATGGTACTGAGGTTATGCAATCCGGGTATAATTTTCCTGGATCACGAAGGGACTGAGATATATTTAATTGATCTCATCCTTTAGGAAAATACATCAGTACTGAGTTATTTTCCTGCAATGAGCAACATTCCTTAAGGGGTGAGGGGCTCTTGATCCAAGGAATTGAACCTGAATCAAGTCTGAATTTCTTTCCTTCCTAAAAGCGCTGAATTGTCCCTTCGGGTTTGGCGTTCCCTTCCCCCATGAAAGTAATGTAATAAATATAATTAGCAATATTAATAAAGCCTAGAGATAGTTACGAAATATAGCAATATTATAAGGAGAGTGACTAGGCAGGAAACGATGTCGCTTCACACGCTGAGTGTCCGTGGTTCGATCCCCTGGAAGGGTGGAAACATTAGGCCTGTTACTTTAAACCTGTTGTCCCCGTTCACCTGGCAATCAAGTAGGTACCTGGGTGTTAGTCACCTTACACGTGCTGTCCCCGGTCACCTAGCAAGCAATTAGGTAGCTGGGTGTTAGTCGACTGGTGAGGGTCGCATCCTGGGGGACAAGATTTAAGGACCACAATGGAAATAAGACAGACAGTCCTCGATGACGCACTGACCTTCACGGGTTATGTTGGGCGGCTAACCTCCGGGTTAAAAATCCAACCAACATCCTATGTTACTGTGTGCAGCAGTGCGTCTCCTTAATTCACCTTCAAAATTATTAAATATTAACACTATATTTCGTCAGATAATGAAGATAACCAACTGTTGTACATGTGTATTACACGTCTACCTGTCGGTACTGTATGTAATTATTAAAATGAAGCCAAGTTATGTGGCTTATTTCTGTCGAGGCTATTCAGAAATCATGATGAAGATGCTGCTTACAACAGTCGACTTAACTTAGCCAACATGTGACCAAAGAGACGCACAGAAAGACGAGATCTCTATTAATACGACGTTTCACCTGAATGAGGCTTTTTCTACTTCTTTATAAAGCCCCATGTGAGTACTTAATTACTGCTAATTGACGAGGAATCGAAGATATAAGAAAGCTTGCCTTTACTTCTCCAGCAACACAAGAATCGAACTCAGGTCCTTTCGTTCTTGAACAGAACACTCGACCATTACCAGGAGTGGACACTTTAGTAAATTATATATGGTGAAAGATTTTAGTGATGAAATGTTTGGTAGGTAAAATATGGTGGAACGTGTTGGAGGAGAGTTGGGGGTAACGGAAGTTGTATGTAAATTAAATTTGATGAAGGTAATATGTCAGTATATAGTTCTCACCTGTTAACCCATGATGTCGTAAAGCTAGGTTTAATGAGGATAAGACCGCAGAGACTGTTAGCCAGGAGCCCTAGACAGACCAAGACAGGCATAACCCCGCGATAAACCACTTGATGGGCTGCGTCCACCATTATTACCACAGACTAGAAAGTTGTTTTTCACTTTCCTTCAGAGTTCTTCCTGCCACTGCTGGTAGGAAGCTTCCCAACCTTCCACTTCCAGCAGCTTACTGCCTTGTCTTCTACTTCTAGCAGCTTACTGCCTTTTCTTCACTTCCAGCAGCTTACTGACTTGTCTTCCACCTCCAAAAGCTTGCCCTCCGCTTTCCATTTACTACTGTGTATTCTTACTGCCTCGACGCATTTATATATCTTTCTTTTCTTCACACTCTGGGAATCTTATCGCCATTTCCGTCAGAGAGTTACTTGGTGCCAAGTCTCGCTACCCGATAAAAGAATAAACTGAATAAATGTCATTTTCGTTATTGAAATGTTTCGTGTGGGAAACAATCTGGTGGAATACATACAGTGAAGGACTTGGGAGTCGGAAGTTTTTCCATACATTTTCTAGATCTGCAATTTCACCTGCCTTGAATGGAGATGTTAGTGTACAGCAGTATTCCAGACTAGCGAGGAAAAGTGACATGGCATGGCATCTTAGTTTTGAAAGTTCTCATTTTTCATCTGAAGGAGGGGTGTTAATGTTGCAGTTTAAAAACTGTAGTGTAAAGCACCCTTCTGGCAAGACAGTGATGGAGTGAATGATGGTGAAAGTTTTTCTTTTTCGGGCCACCCTGCCTTGGTGGGAATCGGCCAGTGTGATAATAAAAAAAAAATATTTTCTTCATAGATGTAATCGTGACACTGCCCAACTTCACCTTGCGGCGTCACCCATGCCTGAAGTCACCCAGGATGTCTGACTGACGTCACCACGATGTCACCATTACCTGACGTCACCATGCTTCCCGACGTCATCTCGCGGCGTCACCCACGACGTCTGCCCGACGTCACCCTGGACGTCTGCCCTGACGTCACCTCACGATGTCACCCCACGTCATCACCTTACGACGTCATGCCTGGCATCACCACATGATGTCACATCGATAGTGTTATGGTTTCACAGTGAGTAATTTGTATTTAGTGTTGCCCAGAACGATTTTGAGAAGATATGTCACGTGTTAATTCCTCTCAGTCATTGTGTTTGTACTAGTGTTCTCACATGTTCATGAATGCTTTAGGGTCGATTTTTGAATAGAAAAGCATCATTTCCTAGTGCAAGCCATGCTGTAGTCACATGTGCAATGCGGGACTGTGCAAGTTTACATGTGTCCCTGATGTTAAGTGGTCTGAGCCCAGATATGTGAGTGTAGACCACAGTGTGGTCTGAGCCCAGAGCATTGGTAACACCCTTGTGTTACATGTCACTCCATTGTGACCGTTTGACGACTGACATTAGTCAGTCTGGGCATCAGTTACAGTTCTCATGCTCGTTGCTAGTAGATGCCATGCCTGAGTCGTTCTGCTACGAGTCCCCATTGTGACTCTTATCACTCCATCTCCTGACCATCAGAGTATGGTTATGAGTAGAAACCAGTCTGGGGACACTTAGATTGACCTCTGCTTTGACTCCCACTCTGATCGAAAGGATGACATTGTCAAGCCACAGTAGCTCTGTTGGCAGGCGGCTGTCTGAATCATGTCACGATTTCAATGAGCAGCCTGCACAAAGTATAATATCACTTTGACTGCTAGCCCGCTCACTCCAGTTATGGTGCTAGCTGCTACGACTCCCAGATTATGCACCTGAGTCGTCTCTGCTATGACTCACTCTCGCCGGCACAACTAAGCTGTGCTGCATCGCATTCCCTGCAATGATTCCCCAGCGATAGTACCAGTCAAGAAATGTCCTCCTGAGTCGCTTGCCAGAAGAAGTCCTACCCAGATGCCGAGTACTGACGATGCCTTAGTCAAGGGCACCAGCAGGTTGTGCCCCAGGACGAGTGACCCCTACAGTGACTACACTATGATGACTGCTTCACTGTTCCAGACGAGACTACCCTAGTATGTCACAGCTCAGCTGCAGCGATGTCTCCTGATGTTGCAGTACCTGCCCAGATGCAGGAAGGCGTGCAGTGATCCCCGCTGAGGCTCGCTGCCTTAGGACCAAATTTAGCGCACCCCCTTTGTTTCCCTTGTATATATTACTATATATATAAATATATATATATATGATTATATTCATAATAATACTATATTATATAGTGTTCTTGTCCCTGTCTTGCAGACTGCAGATGCAGGAGTTTTTTGATCACGCGGAGACCATGCCTGGACCAGATTTTTTAGCTCCCCCCTTTTTTTCCCATTTTCTATGCATTGTAATTTATAACTACCAAGCTCAGCTATATACGTTGCCTTGTCCTCACTCTCCATATACAGCTAAGTCAAGAAGCTACTTACTCTTTCAATGGGGGCTTGGCCAGGGAGCAGTTAATCTCTGCTGTGTTCTGAGTCCAAAAACAATTTTTCATCTTCCGACGTATCATTCCCGTACCAGCCTATAGACTCCACTGGTATAATGCCCCATTGGTTCAGGTCTAAAGCTTTACTCAATAATAAGTTAAATGCCAACCAAACTCTTCAGGGTCAGAAGAGTCTCCATTTTAAGAAAGGTAGATGTCTACTACTCTCCTCTCACATCTTGGGCTTTCATTCCACAAGGCACTGTTTGGACCCAACTGTTCGACAAGGCTCCCAATCTAGTAAATAATCGACGGTCCTTTGTTGCCCGTACAACCCTTCGTTCACGTGAGGGCCTGGTCGCATTCTCGCTCAGGTTAAGAGCCTTTGACGTGTTTCATTTCACCTGTTTTAAATCCAAACAAATCTAAAATGGGTACCGGGTGTTCTGATTTGAAATGGGTGGGTCTCCTCCCGGACAATCGACCTGCATGCGTTCCACAGGCACTGTTGGGCACTGTGCCCGCCCTCTTCTGTAAAACTGCGAACCAGCGTGGAAAAAAAGTGATGGCGTGAGGTGACTGTCAACACAATGTTGAGGCAGAGTAACTCCACTCAAGGTTACCTTTAGTACTACTCAGGGTGAGCTTCAGTAGCATTCCAGGTGAGCTTCAATACCACTCAAGGTGAGCTTCAATACCACTCAAGGTGAGCTTCAATACCACTCAAGGTGAGCTTCAATACCACTCAAGGTGAGCTTCAATATTAGTAAAGGTAAGCTTCAATACCACTCAAGGTGAGCTTCAATACCACTCAAGGTGAGCTTCAATACCGCTCAAGGTGAGCTTCAATACCGCTCAATGTGAGCTTCAATACCACTCAAGGTGAGCTTCAATACCGCTCAAGGTGAGCTTCAATACCACTCAAGGTGAGCTTCAATACCACTCAAGGTGAGCTTCAATACTACTCAAGGTGAGCTTCAATACCGCTCAAGGTGAGCTTCAATACCACTAAAGGTGAGCTTCAATACCACTAAAGGTGAGCTTCAATACCACTAAAGGTGAGCTTCAATACCACTCAAGGTGAGCTTCAATACCACTCAAGGTGAGCTTCAATACCACTCAAGGTGATCTTCAATATTAGTAAAGGTAAGCTTCAATATTAGTAAAGGTGAGCTTCAATACCACCCAAGGTGAGCTTCAATGCTACTCACGATATGCTTCAATACCACCCAAGGTGAGCTTCAATACCACCCAAGGTGAGCTTCAATACCACCCAAGGTGAGCTTCAATACCACTCAAGGTGAGCTTCAATACCACTCAAGGTGAGCTTCAATACCACCAAGGTGAGCTTCAATACCACCGAGGTGAGCTTCAATATTAGTAAAGGTAAACTTCAATATTAGTAAAGGTGAGCTTCAATACCACTCAAGGTGAGCTTCATTGCCACTCGAGGTGAGCTTACACATATTAGTAAAAGGTAACTTCAATCTATTAGTAAGGTGAGCTTCAATACCACTCAAGGTGAGCTTCATGCCACTCGAAGGTGAGCTTCAATATTATAAAGGTGAGCTTCAGTACTACTCAAAGTGAGCTTATGTACTACGTATTTATACACAGTATGTTAAATTAATATACTGGCGCTTTTACACAAGCTTGTCTGGAGTTATACCTGGAGAGAGTTTCCAGGGAGTCAACCCCCCAGGGCCGGTCCGTGACCAGTGCTCAATAGGCAAGGTGAGCTATACCAGTAGTTGTGCTTCAAAGCAACCCAAGCGATAGCTCAATCCGCTCAAGGATGACTTCAGTCTCCCAAGTGCCAGCTTCAATACTACCCAGGGTGGCTTCAATACCTCTCAAGGTATGGGGACTTCAATATCCACTCAGCGTGGCTTCAATACACTTCAGGTGAGCTTCAATACCACTCAAGGTGAGCTTCAATACCACCCAAGGTGAGCTTCAATACCACCAAGGTGAGCTTCAATACCACTCAAGGTGAGCTTCAATACACCAAGGTGAGCTTCAATACCACTCAAGGTGAGCTTCAATACCACCCAAGGTGAGCTTCAATACCACTCAAGGTGAGCTTCAATACCACCCAAGGTGAGCTTCAATACCACCCAGAGTGAGCTTCAATACCACTCAAGGTGAGCTTCAATACCACCCAAGGTGAGCTTCAATACCACTCAAGGTGAGCTTCAATACCACTCAAGGTGAGCTTCAATACCACTCAAGGTGAGCTTCAATACCCCTCAAAGGGGAGCTTCAATACACTCAAGGTGAGCTTCAATACCACCCAAGGTGAGCTTCAATACCAACCCAAAATGAGCTTCAATACCACTCAAGGTGAGCTTCAATACCACCCAAGGTGAGCTTCAATACCACTCAAGATGAGCTTCAATACCACTCAAGGTGAGCTTCAAAAACCACCCAAGGTGAGCTTCAATACCACCCCAAAGGTGAGCTTCAATACCACTCAAGGTGAGCTTCAATACCACTCAAGGTGAGCTTCAATATTAGTAAAGGTAAGCTTCAGTACTACTCAAAGTGAGCTTTGTAACGTATTTATTACAGTATGTAAAATTATATACTGGCGCCTTTGGTTAAAAGCTTGTCTGGAGTTTACCTGGAGAGAGTTCCGGGGGTCAACGCCCCCGTGGCCCGGTCCGTGACCAGGCCTCCTGGTGGACCAGAGCCTGATCAACCAGGCTGTTGCTGCTGGCTGCACGCAAACCAACGTACTAGCCACAGCCCGGCTGATCAGGAACCGACTTTAGGTGCTTGTCCAGTGCCAGCTTGAAGACTGCCAGGGGTCTGTTGGTAATCCCCCTTATGTATGCTGGGAGGCAGTTGAACAGTCTCGGGCCCCTGACACTTATTGTATGGTC